ATTATTAGTATAGTATATATAGTAGTAGTATATATATATATATATATATACATACACACACACACACACACACACACACGTACAATTAAAAGGTGTATAATATTAAAATAGCTGCATAGGGAACAGCCCTAAAGAGACTAAATTTTTTGGTGTTCTTACGCCACCATAAAGCTTTAAAAGTTGAAAAATGTAAGATAAAGTAAGTAATACTGCTCTATCTTTTTTAGTATTGACCATGAAAATCCAAAGTACTTCCTAAAGTATCTGCTTTTAACATGTATTTCTTATGTTTATTTTACTGTTAGCAGCTGAAGTAGAAACCTGCTGAACATAAAGCAATGAATTGCCATTCCTGCCATTAGACTGTCTATGTGACACTGTAATATGACACTTTCAGTAGTAAATAATCTTGTGTGACACATTACCAGAATTTCCCTACAGAGTTTATCATAATCCCAGCTCTGAGAATGCAGTGGAAGAGGATTTATCATTTGTTTACAGTACAGTAGTTGCAATGAGAATTGCCTAAATTAATAAAAGAGTCAGAAGATGTTTATGATATGGCTCTGTACAAAGTCTGGGTCCAATTCAATAAACTTCGTAGGTATTTGGATGCTAGTTATCCTGTCAGGGTGGTCGGAGTTTAGTGAAATAGGTGTACAAAATGTGTACGTGCTTATTACATATTATTACTAGTTACTCATAAATGCATAATGTTTAGTTACTTCTCTTAAAACAGAACAGTAAGTAAAAAAATAATAAAAAATTACTTCTAGTATTAAAGATGTTTCAAAATTGATTTGTATTTGTACGTTGTGCTTGCTAAGCCTTGCTATAAGCTATGTTTATTCTCTCCAATGGAGGAAGACAAATTAATTTTTGTAGATTTCAAAGATGCATTTTTGGAAACCAAAAATTATCAAATTACTTACTGCTACATATAAAAATGCTGTAATTTATCTGGCTTTCTAAATAAGCTGTATGTGGGTTAAGGAAAATTCATTCTGTATGGAGCAATGATGAATGGACTTCAATATATCCAGTAAAATTAGAAGTTTCCCCTTCAAGCCAATTACAGACAACTATCAGATTTACTTGGTTTAAGTTGTGCTCTTTCTATTGGTTATAAACATGTATTTAAGAGAAGTAGGTGTGAATAATATTCATATTGACAAATGGATACTGTGGTACCAATGAGACTAAGAATGCTATTACAGGATTGTTATTCTCTCAACATTATAGCATTCTTAGTCTCATTGCTAACTTAGAACCCTAAGTGTGAGTAGACAAGAAGTTTAAAAAAATGAAGAGTGGGTTGGGCTACCCTGGTAGATTTGCAAAATATATTAACATCTCAGCAAATCAGAAAGATGGGAGGTTCTTATTTTATATTCTAGCTTGTAAATGTCTGAAATTTGAGTTTTTAATTAATTAACCGCTATAGACATTGTTTAGTAGGTGTAATAAAATATAAATTGAGCCAGAAGACATGCCATATGACACACAAAAAAGCATTTTAATGATGAAGATAAAGATGGTTGATAAAACACAAAACATTTTATTTACTAGGTTCAAATATTTCGGAATATTGTTATTCCACCTGCAGTGAAATCTGAAAATTGT